TAATTTATATTACAATAATGGCTAAAAACTAGACATAAAACTATAACCAATCAAATCTTATTACAAAGCTCATATTGTTTCATTACATGACGGATCCGTATTCCAAAAACATATTTATTCCTTTTTTCCCTTTTTTTGTTAGGATCCTAAGCGATTATAATAAATGAGAAGTCAAATTTTGGATTTTTAGCACATTCTAAATATTTCTTAAAACTATTTTTCATTTAAGAATAAAAATAATACAGCTATTTAATTTATATTACAATAATGGCTAAAAAATAGACATGAAACTATAACCGAGTCAAATCTTATTATAAAGCTCATATTGTTTCATTACATGACAGATCCGTATTCTAACTCTTGCTATAACCTTAGACCCTCGTATGAAGTAACACCAACTATAAGGTTCCTTAACCTTTCATAGAAGAGTGTGAGTTTTTCTTTAGTGGTGTGCTTATCGACGACTATATGCTTAAGCTGTGTGACATATTTTTAGGGTATAGTTCTTGGTATTCTAAGCTTGTAAATGATATTTTATGGGTTAGGATCCCCATTCAGACCATATCTTTTCTTAGAGCATCCCTCTTTAGTTAGTGTGTGAATTGCTAAAGCATGTTCCTTTCATATCTTGGCTAACCTAATTCTTCTTTTCCAACTCCTTTAGATAGGTATTCAAACATTGGATTATCTAAGCATGATTCTCAACTCGATCCTTAGCGATAGCTTTAACTTATTCAAGATTTTTTTTAGCCTTAAGTTCTTCAATCTTATTCTCAAGGTCTCATTTCTTAAAGTCAAGTTCTATCATTTCCTTAATAATTAAGGATGTGAAATCAATTAGATTGTCATGTTTTAAATCCAATGCCTAATCATCAATCCTCAACTATCTTAGAGCCTCCTCAATTTATTGGAGTTGAGTTCAAAGTTCTTATTTCTTCTTTTCCAAGGAATCTATCGTTTGGTCTCAAACTTTTAGATTCTCTTCTAGCTTTTTTTTTCTTTTTCTTTAGCTATTTAATTTAGGAGTTCAAATTTTCATGATAGAGTTCATGCCGAGCACTTATTTCTTAGCAAATATTCTTTATCATCATTCATCAGCTTTGATAACCTTCAAAAGGTGAAACTCGGTATCCCTTTCCTTCTAGTTTGCTTGCCATTTTGAATAACGAGTGAAGTCCTCCCAACAACTCTTCTTGCTAGAATGATGATGCCATTACGTCTCAAAGTTATCTTGGCTCCCTTCAACTACTTCGAAACATGTTTAAACAATAGCTAATGCAACACCTAACTCTAGTCAAAGGTACCTAGGGGAGCTACCACAATATGCTAGATAAGAGCAAAAGAATGCATAATATGCTCTCTAATAGAATTCGGACTTCTCTAAGTCGAGGAACATTTTATTCCGAGTGACTTTGCTAAGCTCATTGATAAGGTGGTCAGCAAAGTTTTCTAGCTTGGAGTATAAATGTCAATGTGCTTTAAAAATTTCAGTAATCTTCTCGGTCATTACATGAGTCATAGTCTAGACGAATAACAATTGAACACGAGCATCTCGGGTATCCATCATCCTTCCTCCTACAAAAAATTCAATGATGAAAGAGTCTTTGCCAAAATTGTTGCCTCAAGGTTAACTTTAAGTGACACTACACTCTTGAACACATTGTACTGTTTCAAAATAAATCATACCCTCAATTGATGGTAGCAATACCATCTTATATATGGCTAGCACCTAGATTTTTAGTTTGATGGTGCTATATAGGTCATCTAGATGTTTCTTGAATTCTAATTGGAGTAAATTCCAAAATCATCCTTGACTCGACACCACTTAGTTATTTGTTTAACTACGATCACATGGTCGAGTCCAATAAGCATGTAAAGTTGGAGGGTGCTTGCTTTAACGGACCATAAAAGTACACAACGTCCGATTTGGAAATTGCTAGCAAAGCTTTGTATTCCTCAAGTTTTGGTGAGAGATCCACACTTACAAAGGTAAAGGAGTAGTACTTGGGGATCCTAATGCCCACCATTGCTCGAAAGTACGACATCTAAGTTTTCACTTTAAAGAGCTAAGTTATGTCACCATAAAATTTCTAGACGTCAAATTGGTCTTAAGGCATAAGCATCTCCCAACAATCAAAGAGTGCACACACATTGGCCATTCCGTTAGCTAGTCCTATTTTCTCTAATAGCTTCAACATGAAGTTCGAGGGTAGACAGTCTCCCTCATTAAATTGGATCCATTCTAATCCGGCCTTGAAATCCTTAATAGCATTTTCCATTCTTATGTCATCATTTATTTTAGTGATAACTTGCCAAAACAAGGGTTAATGCATGAGAAAATAAATGAAAAATTATGCGAAACTTAAATTTTTTTTCACGAAACCTAAAAAAAATAATCATAAACAAATGATGATGATAAACATAAAATGGAATGAAATAAAATATAGATATAAATAAAAGGAAATAAGGGTGAATTTTTTTGATTATGACAATTACGTTAAAAAAAAAAAAACGCATGAAGGTATCTTAATTTTCAAATAGAGTTATACATACATACATATATATATAAACCTAATGTACATATTTTCAAAAATTAATCTTCTCATCAATATTCAATATGGATAAAAATTTATTTTAAAATTTAAAATTTTTATTTAGTATTTTTTTACTTTAATTATTGCTTTATTTTTTTTAATGCAATCATATAAAAATATTAAATTTGTACACTTTACAATAATTGAAACTTGATCTTTAGATTATTACAAATTTTTACTTAAGAATTTATGCATAAAAAAATCATATTTTTAAAGAAAAATTTATTAAAAAATACATAAAATTAATTAAATACAAAATTTTGATTAAAAAAATATAATGTAAGGTGAAAAAACTATCTTTGAGTTTGATAAATTTTGTTGGACTTGTAGCATAGCAAGGACACTCGAACTAGAATTATTTTTTTCAAATAATTTCACATATTTTGTCCAATCTGTAGCGCAATACAAACAACCATCTAGTAAAAAACATTAAACAAAGTGGGCAAAAGAAAAAAACAATGAACAACAACTTTTTCCTTAGTTTAACACTATTCATCCACACTCATGGACAATATTCACTTGATATTGTTGCAATGTTTTTTTTTTTAATCTTTATTCATGCTTTTTTGTGATTGCATGATTGTGATTTTTGGCTTTTTTTCGGGCATTTGATATACAAGTTCTAACAAATGTTGCATTTTGATCTCTAATAATTGTTTCTAGAACTTTTGTCTCGGTTTCTAACTTTATTTTGGTCTCCCTCGGCATAAAAAGAAACAAAGAGTGAGAATAAAAAAGAAAGAAGGTCGATTCATTCCTACCACTTTGATTGTCGATCTTGACTTCGATTTGTTTATCTTGAGAGTTTGTTTATAGTAGTCTTAAGGCATGAAATGATCGGAGAAAGGAGATGGAGACCCCAAAATAATTTTGAGCTTTTGAATTTAATTTGTTTTTTTATATGTATTAAAATGTGTTTTAAGATTTTAAATGAGTTTTTGTTACCTTATTTTAGTGATTTTAAGGTGTTTTTCAAGCAAAGCCGATGTTAGATTTGGGTTTGGAAGGCCAAAAACTAGTAATTATGATTTTTTGACAAAGTTTTTTACGAATGCAAGTTCGTCGAAAGTTACCGATGACACGTCATCTATTTTTTTGTTTTAAAGTCGTTGGACCACATGGGCCTTGTTTTGCGGTGTCGAAGGATAAATCTCTAGTTTGGCAAGCCTAAAGGCGTAGGCTTGCTTTGGTTTTTTTTTTCTATTGTTTTTTTTTTAATTATTAAATTTGATGCAAAAATTATGAAAATTTGATAGTTAATTTTTTGGATTTTTCGCATAATCTGGAGATAAAGAAATACATACAATATGCTTTCAGAATTTTTGTATTAATATATTAACAACAATATTTTCAAGAAAGAAAAAAATAGAATTCACGTATTTTACTTTTTTTCATTATATAATCTATTAACTTCAAATTTATTCAATATATCCTTACATGTTAATATTTTATTTTAATGTTTTTTATTTTATATTGTATGTTTTGAACCTACTCAATATAGTTATAATTTATATAAAAAATATTAAATTATTTATTTTATTAAAAATTAATTATGTATTTAAACGCATAACTCTAGTAATTTATTTATTTATTTAGTACTCTAAATTTAATTTCTTTTAAATAAAATAATGGAAATAAAGTTTTAGAAGAACACTTAATGATTTAGTTATAGCTTTTATACTAACATTATTGATTATGTTGTGAATAAATATATATAAATTAAATGTATAGATTCCAAAAAAATTAATCTTCTCATTAAAATTAAATAGAAATAAAAAATAATTTTTTATTTATCATTTTTTATACAAGTTTTTATGGTAATTGTTAGTTCTTTTTTCCATTCAATCTTATGAAAAAATATTAAGGTATTTTTTAAAATTTTAGAATAAATTTTTTATTTAAATTATTAGAATTTTTTTATTTAAAAATCCATATATAAAAAAATCATGTTTGTTTTAAAGTATAAAATTTATGACATAAGAAATAATTAATTAAACACAAAATTTTGATTAAAAATTTATAAAATTGAATAAATTTTTTAATTTTCAATTGGATATATTTTAATAGATTCAAAGCATCTAGCATCTACAAACTATTAAAATATAATGATTTTTTCTAAACTTTTCATCTATTTTATCCAATCTATTCAAAATGCGGGCGCCCAAAAAAATAAAAATAAAATAGTAATTAACTGATTAATTATGCTGGAAAAGAAAAAAAAAAATTGAAGCATCCTAAAACTTCCTCTTTCTTACTTATCGATTTAATTGGCGCCAAAATCCCTAAATTTTCCCGCCACAAAAACCTACCTCCAAAAACACTCAATTCCCTTCTCTCTCACTCCAAAGTCCTAACAACTCAATCCACGCACAGAGAGATATATCAATGGCGGACGAGCAGCCAACAATGTTAGTTAGGAAGCGAAACCGAGGAGCAGAAGCCACAGCCAGAGCCGAAGCCCTTGAGCGACTTAAAGCGCTCCGCAGTGGTGGCCGGAGATCTGAAAATGGCAGCGGTTACTCCATCAAAATGGAAGATCCAATCTACGATTCCGTCCCCGAGGACGAGTATAACAATCTCGTCGCTCGCCGCCGTGAGGAAGCTCAGGGTTTCATCGTTGACGATAACGGCCTCGGTTACGGCGACGAAGGTCAAGAAGAGGACTGGTCTCAGGCCGGAATATCTCTTTCGTCGGATGAATCGGATGGTGAGGGTTTGAGTAAGAGTAGATCTAGAAAGAAGAAAAGTGAAAAGAAAGAGAAAGAGAAAGAGAAAGAGAAGGACGTGAAGAAAGGGAATGCTTCTTTGACGGCTGCTGCGACGGCCATTATGGGGAAAACGAAGATATCTGCTATGTTTACATCAAATGTTTTTAAAAATAGGGATTCTGTTGGTAAGGTAAAAAGTTTTGATTGTGAAAGTATTATAGATGATGTTATTGCGGAGTTTGCTCCTGATGAAGCTGATAGAGAAAGGCGTAGAAGAGGACAGTTAATTGTGAAGAATGCTACACCAATTAAGAGCGAAAGCCATTTTTTTGATAACAGTAATAATGCTAATTCTATGGTTAAAGCAGAATTGGATAGGGATTTTAGTAATTATGGTGATTATAAGGGTGGCGTTGATGAGAAAAATGAGGGAATTATTGAAGTGAAAGAGAAGAAGGGAGAGGAGAAATTGTCTAATCTGGTTAAAGAGGACGTTGGAATTGTTATGGAAGTGAAAGCGGAGGAGGCAGTAGTTAAGAAGGATGGTAAAGGCACACTTAATGCGAAGATTAGTAAGGATGAGAGGGATCCAGCGTTGAGTGCGACCGCTGGGTGGAAGGAGGTGATGAGTGGTACGAATGAGGTTGGGGCTGGTGGTGGTGCTGGGGTGGCGGAGGAGGTTAAAAGTGGGGCAAGTTGTGAGGAGCAGTCAGAGTTTGATCTGGATGGTGATGGGTCATTGCCTTTTTACATTCTTGATGCTTATGAGGAGATTTTTGGTGCTAATATGGGCACCCTCTATTTGTTTGGGAAGGTAATGTATACTGGTTTTACATTTTTTCCTGCTAACAGTGTTTTAATAGAATGTGAACAATGTTTGATACAATTACATGGGTGGTTAACAAAATTTCCTTCAAGGGTGACTAAATGGGGTTGTACTAACTAATTAGAACAGGTGGCAGTGTGGTGACTGATTGCACTTAATTGACTCTATTGGATCCCTAATTTCCCTGTAGTAAATTATTGCGTTGGTGGTGTCATTCACTTCATAGATAGCCAATCCGTCCAACAATCAAGTTTGCATAGCGGCATGCAACGATGTCTTATTGGCATAAATCCTGGTGTGAATACTGTTGTTCACTCTGACTTTGATATTTAGGTTAAAGCCGGAGATACATATCACAGTTGCTGTGTGGTTGTAAAGAACATGCACAGATGTGTTTTTGCAATTCCAAATAGTTCTATATTCCATACTGATGAGATGATCAGGCTAGAGAAAGAGGTTGAAGAGTCACTGATTTCTTCCACAGATTTCCGTAAAAAGCTGCAAGTAAGTACATTCTCGTATACAAATGTATCTATATATATGTACTTATATTATGGAACAAATGTCTGTGTTTTATTTTCTCGCTGCTTTTAATGCTTTTATGCAATTGTCTTCTGCAGGACATGGGATGTGAACTAAAGAATGAAGTAGCAAGCCAATTGTTAAGTCTCAATGTTTCAAGTTTCAGCATGGCTCCGGTTAAGGTTTGCAAATTCAATCAGTATAATGTCAAAAACAGTGTATTTTAAAGTACACACTACTTGTATTCTGTTGTGCCATTCATATTTCCTGATTTTCTTTGTATTTGTTTTGTGACCTACTAACAGAGGAGATATGCTTTTGAGCGCTCTGATATACCTGTTGGGGAGAATTATGTACTCAAGATCAACTATCCATTTAAGGTATCCATTGAATTTGTTGAACGTGGTAACTCAGTTTAAATCATTGAGCTATATTTGAGATATTCAGATGTCATAGTTGTACATCTTGGAGTTTCTTAAGTTATTGTTCTGATATAGTCAAGCTTTGTTAAATTTGATTTATGTATTTTGAATTCTCTGAGCGCAGGAACCTCCACTCCCAGCAGATATGAAAGGGGAAACTTTCTGCGCTTTGCTCGGAACTCATTGCAGGTAATAGATCTGGGTTTTGCTAACATCCAGACATAAAGGTGCCCTTTTAAATTCCAACTAGACACTAATTCATCTTAAATAAATCTATTTGTATGAGTTACACAAGAGTATGATTGAAATTCAATGCGAAAACCTACTGTAATGAGCTTACAGACCATCCTTTTCATTTAGTTATAATTACTGTCAATATGTTGGCTTGTATTCAGACGTTGTGGTTCATTATTACTCTTCTACTGCATGATTGATTTGTCCTAGCCTTGTTAACTCTTAACAAGCTAAATGGCCTAGCCTTCTCGAATCTCAATACACTAAGGGAAAAAAAGATATCATATGGCTTTAGCTAGTTACAGGATTAGTCAATGCACTAAATTGATCACCTAGACAAGTCTCAATGTCCACAGATCTGACTTTTATTGTGTTAACTTAGACTCATTTTCAAATCTGATACAAATATTGAATTGAGGTTGGTGAAGTGAACTTGATTTTATGATTTTATTTTAGGCAAGTTCCAATTCAGCTTCTAACGGTGGACAATTATACAAATGATCAATGAAATCTTTTTTTTTTTTTTTTTAAATTCACACACTCAAAAGGCTCCTAACAGAACTAGTTTGTTAGGATTTGAACATGTGATCTCTTGCAAGAGAGCACTACCACTGGGCTATAAGCTCTTGAGCTTTAATTAGTTTTATCATTTACAGTGCTTTAGAGCTTTTTCTTGTTAAAAGGAAGGTAAAGGGACCTTCGTGGCTATCAGTTTCAAAATTTGCAACTTGTCCAGCTTCTCAAAAGGTAAGGTTTTAAATCAACACATCTTTTATCATTTCACGTATCTCTTATGAAGTCCTTTATAGATCTTCTCTTTTTCCTCTGTAACAATCTTGGACAGGTGAGCTGGTGCAAGTTTGAGATTATTGTTGAATTTCCAAAGGACATACAAGTTTCATCTTCTTCAAAGAGCAAAATAGAGATTCCTCCAGTTGTTGTTGCTGCAATAAATCTGAAAACTGTCATAAATGAAAAGCAAAATGTAAATGAAATAGTCTCTGCATCTGTCATTTGCTGTCACAAGGCCAAGGTTTGTTTAAGAGCTCCCATGGGCCATTCTGCTTTCATTTCGAATTCCAGCATTTTTTCCTTGAATGTCATCCATTTTGCCTTTGAAGTTGTTGGTTCAAGCACATATATACAAAGACAATGTCATCTGATCTTAGTTCATATGTCAATTTGAGTAAAAAGGCACTTGGAAAAGGTGTCATATATTATTTGACTGGCAGTGATGTTAGATGTAGGTTATGTTCTTGTAATGATACAAATAAAAATTGTTCACTTTGTGCCTTGGAGTCATAAAGAGCTCGGCAGAATCAGTAACTTTTTAAGCTACTATGTTTTGTCAGACGTGCTCCACAGTTTTCTTTCTGAATTTGGGCGGTATGGCACTACAAAGTAATTCATAAAAGGGCTTGAAGTTCACTTTTAATGTGACCTTAGTTAGGAGAGAAATATTTACATCAGCTTGACTTCCATGAACTTTAATAAATATGTTCCACTTTTATGGCTTACATTATGTGACATTCAATTGGAGTTTTGGTGCTATTACCCTGTAGGCTTGTTGCTTTTATCCAGGATAAAGTTGATTTCATGAGTGCTGTCCCATTTTATACCATGCAAGTTTGTGTGCATTACTAAGATACGCTACTATTTCTACTGTTTCACTTTTCAGATTGACACTCCCATGTTGGCCTCTGAATGGAAGAAACCTGGTATGCTGAGCCATTTTACTGTTGTTCGCAAGCTTGATGGAGGAATATTCCCAATGGGATTTTCCAAAGAGGTTACAGACAGAAACACGATGGCTGGATCAAATGTTTTGGCTGTTGAAAGCAGGTAAGTTCTTCTTTGTTTCTTTGTTCATTCTAATCATATTTCTGGCACCTGTGGTTAAAGTATTTTTAACATCCTTTTGCAGTGAAAGAGCGCTGTTAAATCGTTTGATGATTGCATTACACAAATTAGACAGTGATTTTCTTGTTGGACATAATATATCCGGGTTTGACCTTGATGTTCTTCTCCATAGAGCACAGGTGGGGATATTTTTGTTATGCTTTCTAACACAAAGATTATATAAGGTCCAGTACTTGTTAAATTTGTGTTTTTCTTTATGTAGGCTTGCCGGGTGCCAAGTAGCACGTGGTCCAAAATAGGCCGTCTCAAGCGTTCTGTGATGCCTAAACTTACAAAAGGAAATGCCATTTTTGGCTCTGGGGCAAGTCCAGGGATCATGTCTTGCATTGCTGGTCGGCTCTTATGTGATACATATCTGGCTTCTCGTGATTTATTAAAAGAGGTAATATCTACTCCTGGTGCATCACGTCATGCATCTAATGCTGGACAAAAAATCCATTTTCTAACACAGTTTAACTTCAATTCATCAAGGTTAGTTATTCCTTGACGCAACTTGCAAAGACTCGGCTGAACAAAGACCGTAAGGAGATTGCACCACATGATATTCCCACAATGTTCCTGACATCAAAGTCCCTTATTGAACTAGTAAGTTCTGATACTAACTGCAATCATCTGACCAGAATAATCCTGCTAGGTAATATATTCCTTGTAGAATTTAGTGTTTGAACTTTTCTTTCCTGGTAAACAATTTGTATTGTGGTTAAATTAGTATGCTTTGCACATTTATATTGAAGTGCTCTTCTTTCTTGATAGTTAGGCAGTGTGTTATGTGATGACAAACAATTTGTAGTTGTGAAAATTGCAGCATGACTAATGTTTTCTAAGATTTAGCTCCTCAGTTGGTTCTGGCATATAATTTGCAACATTGTAATAAAGTTTTTGCAAATAATTTTAACCTCATATTTTCAAGTATAACAGGGCTATGGTGATTTTAGTAGCCAACTGACAGCCTAAACTAGCTAAGTAGTAAGATAAATTGTTTTCACTTATCAATCAGGTCTTCTTTAAGCCCATAAATGTAATGTGGTGGTGCTCGTGGTCAGCTTTTCCTGCTACAAGAAAATTATGTGTGTTCCTTTCTTATTGCCTTATTATAGTTCTCATGGTGTCAGTAATGCATTCAGGTTGAATATGGTGAGACAGATGCATGGTTATCTATGGAACTCATGTTTCATTTGAGTGTTCTTCCTCTCACACGCCAGCTGACCAATATCAGTGGGAATCTCTGGGGTAAAACTCTTCAAGTGAGTTGCAATTTTTTTGCCTTCCTTTTCTTGTGATTTATATCTGGAAAATGTGTCCAAAGCATGATTGCAAATGTATAAACAATTCTAATATATGTTTTTCCAGGGTGCCAGGGCACAAAGAGTAGAGTATCTTCTATTGCATGCATTCCATGCTAAGAAATATATTGTCCCAGACAAGATGTCATCTCGTGTAAAGGAAACAAAAATGACAAAGAGGAGAATGAATGATGGCATTGAAGATAGAAATACTGACGGGTTGGACACTGATGCTGCCAATTTTGAAAATGATAATCAACACAGTGGTAATGGGAAAAGTAAAAAAGGTCCTGCCTATGCAGGTGGATTGGTTTTGGAGCCTAAAAAAGGTTTATATGACAAATATGTATTGCTTCTGGATTTCAATAGTCTTTACCCCTCAATTATTCAGGTTGATATCTCTTTCCCTCTTCACGCTCCCTCTTGATGGATTTTACCTTATTGATCTGTCACTTTCATGGGCACTAATACTTGATTGATTTTACAGGAATACAATATCTGCTTCACTACAGTTGAAAGGTCTATGGATGGATTGATTCCTCTTTTACCTTCCAGTAAAACAACTGGAGTTCTGCCCGAGGTATGATCACCTCATTGTTTGTTGGCTTAATCCGTAAAACCTGATTGTAGATGGCTTGTTAAAATTTGTAGTGCATGCTATCTATCCTCACCATTTGCAGTTATGTGCTTCAATGCATTGCCTCTGAGATTTCTGTTTTCAATTTGAAATTATTATTATGTCTACCATTCTTTTTTTGTTGTTTTTAGCTTAAAGTGTTTGCTGGGAATTCATTTTACATATTCTTTGACAGCTGCTGAAAAATTTAGTTGAGAGAAGAAGAATGGTTAAGTCATGGATGAAGAATGCATCTGGTCTCAAAGTCCAGCAGCTTGACATTCAGCAACAAGCACTAAAGCTCACCGCAAATAGGTCTATATTTATTTTCTTGCCATCTGGTTTTTGATTTTCTTAATCAATCTCATTGCTTTTCATCACATAATTTCTACTTTTTTTTCTTATACATTTTGACATGGCTGGTCATGCAGTATGTATGGATGCCTTGGGTTTTCCAATTCAAGATTTTATGCAAAGCCACTTGCAGAACTAATAACTCTACAGGTAAGATATACATTGCTTTTGCTGAAACTGAATGTCTTGCTCTCAAGCTAAAACTGACTTACATTGACTGAGTCAAGTGACTGACATGCAGGGAAGGGAGATTTTACAAAGTACCGTTGATCTTGTTCAGAATAATTTAAACTTAGAGGTAAGACCTACATTGAGGTATAGAAGTTATTGTCAGAATATTCTAGTATTTATGTTCATCAACTCACATGACTAGCAATGTGGTTAGCTCTTGAAGAGTGCCTTTTACTTTGAATTGCAGGTGATCTATGGTGATACAGATTCAATTATGATTTATAGTGGACTAGATGATATTCCAAAAGCAAAAGCTATTGCAGGGAAAGTCATCCAGGAGGTAAAATTATGGTCATGTACTTTGTGTTTGTAGGAAAAATTCTATGCACTTTAAGTTGCAAAAATAGTTATATTGAGACCTATCAGCATCCCATGCTAAAAAATGCATAATGCAATAAAATGTCTATAGACAAAATGACCTTATCATATTCCCAGTGAATAGAGATAATAGGGGGATAGAGTTGTGCACGTTTTGACAAATCCAAAAGCCATAAAGATTTGCACATCGATAAGTTTCAAATTTAATGTTTTAACTCCAACTTGCCAGCATGCACTTTACTTAAAGTCGTTTTTTTACTGTCATGCTGCTATTATTTTATTCCTCTTTTCATGCTCTACATGGGATGTAACTCCCTTTAGCTGTATCTAGGTTAACAAGAAGTATAGGTGTCTAGAAATTGATCTTGATGGCTTGTACAAAAGAATGCTTCTTCTTAAGAAGAAGAAATACGCAGCTGTTAAGGTGCAATTCAAGGATGGGACACCATATGAGGTACTTTTTGTAATAACAATTATTTTTGCCATTTTGGTTACCTTTGTCTTGAATAAGATCAGTATAATAACGTTTTCGCTGCAGGTTATTGAACGTAAAGGTCTTGACATGGTTCGTCGTGACTGGAGCTTGCTATCAAAGGAATTGGGAGATTTCTGCCTGGCTCAAATTTTGTCTGGAGGGTATGTTATGCCGTCCCTTTTTAAAAAAAACAGTCATTTTGACTTTGTACTTAGCTGGAATTCTTAGAAAATGACTGGAGTCCACATTTAACTTGTCATACCTTTGGCTGTTGTGCTTACAGGTCATGTGAGGACGTAGTCGAATCAATACATAACTCCCTCATGAAGGTAATGTTGAATATTATCGATATTCCTTTGTTTGTTTGTTTTGTTTTGTTCTGTTTTTTTTTTTTTTTTTTTTTTTGTCCTTCAGAAAAAGGCAAAGCGTCAAGAAAATGGTAGAAGAGGTAAAAGATAGTGTTTAAGGCAGAGTTTTGACTGTGCTGATGATCTTATTATCTGGCCATATATATATGGTTATTGTTGAACAAATAAAAGGCAGTTCAAGGGGATCGACCCTGGTAGAGAAATGTGTTATCATCTCAACTTCCATGGAAAACTAGAATTTCCATTGACTGGTGGCTGTGCTTTAAGCTTGCCTTTTATTGTTCGGTTCTGTGTATGTAATAGGTACAGGAAGATATGAGGAGTGGACAAGTAGCACTTGAGAAATATGTCATCACGAAGACATTGACTAAACCACCTGAAGCCTATCCTGATGCCAAAAACCAACCCCATGTTTTGGTGAGTCTGCAGAACAGTTTGAATTGTTCTTTAATAGGTATTTGACCATATTTTTGTGGTTTGTACCATTAACTATTCCATACTTATGTGAACCATTTTCCAGGTAGCACTAAGGTTGAAGCAAAGTGGTTATACCGCTGGTTGCTCTGCTGGTGATACCGTACCGTATATAATTTGCTGTGAACAGGTATTGATTGATGGAATTGGGGTATACGTCACAGTATTTCATGCCTTACATTTAAAATGTAAGCTAGGTCACTGTTCTTTTATATTTTGCTTTTTTTATTTCCCAATTTAGCAGGGTGCTACTGCAGGAAGTTTAGCAGGAAGTTTAACAGGAATCGCCCAGCGTGCAAGACATCCCAATGAATTGAAATGTGACGACGGGAAATGGATTATTGACATTGACTACTACTTGTCACAGCAAATACATCCTGTGGTATCGCGTTTATGTGCTTCAATCCAGGGTACAAGCCCAGAGCGTTTGGCCGATTGCTTGGGGCTTGACTCATCCAAGGTATTCTTCCTAGCCTGACTTAAGTTATGATATTCTCCAAATTGTATGCAGCACTTACACCCATGATTAATTGTTTTTGCAGTTCCATAGCAAATCAAGTGAATCTGTCAACAGTGATCCTTCTAGCTCACTCCTGTTTGCTGTTGATGATGATGAAAGGTAATTCTTATGTCTAGCAATGTCATTTAATTCCATTGCTTTTTAAAATTTTCTGTGCCTGAATTTAATTTCAATAGCGTAGCTTTTGTCATTTGTGCCTTAAGGCATCATTTCCAGAATTAATTAATAAAATTTGGAACACATAGTAGGATATAAATGAAATTATATTTGAAACTGTAATATGAAAACATGTGTTTCCTTTTCACTTCTGGTTCCGTTTTACTCCATTTTTTATTTTATTTTATTTTTTATTTTTTTGTCTTGAATGGAATTGCAGATATCGGAGTTGCGAGCCGCTAATCTTGTCATGTCCCAGCTGCTCTGGTACTTTTGACTGCCCTGCTGTCTTTAGTTCCGTTTGCACGTCAATTCTTGAGAAATCAAAAACCCCACAAATCGAAGAATCTACATCCAATTTCTGGCGTAGATTGCGTTGCCCTAAATGCCCAGAGGAAGGTGACTTGGGCAGAATATCTCCTGCAATGATGGCCAATCAGGTTACTATTGAACTACTTTCTTGTTATTAGACCTCTTAATTCTTATGTGTTGTGCACTTGAAGAAAGAAATATTACGTGGTTCCCCATTAAGGCATTTGCAGATGTTTCTGGAGTATTTTGTTGAGAAGGACTGGATCCATGAATGAATTGTTATTTATTCAACACTTTTTTGGGTTCTGAGCTGAGAGTTTTCGCATGATCCTTTCTATTTCAGGTGAAAAGGCAAGTGGAGGGGTTCGTTTCCACATACTATAAGGGCATCATGACGGTAATCTACTTAATGCGCATTATTATAAGGGAATACAGGGTCAACATACAAGGACCATGATAATAATTAAATCTACTCTGCTTTCAGTGTGATGATGAAACTTGTAAGCATACCACGAGGAGTGTCAACCTGAGGGTGGTTGGTGATTCTGAGAGAGGGACAGTTTGTCCAAACTATCCGCGCTGCAACGGACGTCTAGTGAGAAAGGTTTTTATCCTACACTTTAACTTTAAAGAAACATATTTTATTCCATTGATTGTATTTGGTTACTGAGAAATGTGGTTGTAAATGTTTTTTTCACTAGTATACGGAAGCCGATTTGTACAAGCAACTGTCATATTTCTGTCACTTGCTGGACACCGTTCGCTGCGTTGAAAAGGTTGGTTTCTTTATTTAGTTATTGATTTGTCACTATTAGTTGCCATATTCTGGTGCTGGTTTAAGCTTTGCTTCATGGGTAATTCAGATCCAGGCGGACGCAGGCATTAGAATACCACTAGAAAAGCAGTTGACCAAAATTCGGGCCATGGTTGATTTAGCAGTTTCAACAGTTCAAAAAATTAGGGACAGATGTGCGTATGGGTGGGTACAGCTAAGTGACCTTGCAGTCACTGTATAAATTTCCAAACAACGTAAATATCTGCTTTAAGTCAAAGTCAGAGCGTTGTCACCTCATGCTTTATGGAAATGGAAACATGTGGAATTCTTCAACGGCGAACCAGCTTCATTGCCAATTCAATGGATCGTGTATCAGGAGTTTTACTTTAGTTGGGTAGTTTTGCTCGGATAGTTTTAATATTATTTCTTAAAATAGGGTATTTATGCCAGGTAAGATATACATGTCAGCCAATTTTTTTTTTTGTAACACATGTCAGCCTTTTATTTTCTCATTAGAAGGTTGCCATATTAAGAGCATATTAAGAACTGAGTTGTGTAGCGAGTCAAAAGCATGAGTTTTTATTGCTATATAATTTGGTGATTTTTATACGTAAATGGTATGCTTGAAAAGATTAATCTTTCTTTCATCAAACCCTTCGAAAACCATCACCATCACCTATCTGTCTATCTCTATCACAAACCAACCAAATGCTATTACCATCATCTATTGCTATTAAATCATGCAAAATTACCACAACTAAACAGATTGCCGCCACCTATGATTAACAATCTCTCACCATCACAACAGTGAACAGTCGGCAGTGTAAATTTTACAAATCATATTGGAAATTAGATTTTTCCTTTGTGCTGTTGATTTATTTATATATATATATAATTTCATTTTTTTTTTTTATTGTGATTTGTTACATTGATGTGAGGAGGGAAGTTTTGGTTTTACTTTGACTTGTTAAAGTAAATTTTGGATAGCTAGAGCTAAGAGTATAGTGCAAAAAAGATTGATGGTAAAGTAAAATGATTATTGGTATTCTTTGCTAAGTAATTTCAAATTTTTGATGGTGAGAGTTACAAAGCACTTGTCATAATTATTTGTGAAGTTGGTGATATGACTAAATTTATAGTTCTACGAGATCTTAAGTTGAAAGTTAGATTTGTAATGGATAACTTAATTTGACAAATACATGATTAATGGTATATGTATTTAGAATTGGGGGGAGGAAAAAGACTTCATATTATTGTTGCCTTCAAGACCTTTTGTCAAGGGAGGAAAAAGACTTCATATTATTGTTGCCTTCAAGACTTTTTGTCAAACATATTATAAGAATATTGGTTTCTGTAACTTATGACCCATTATAATTCATAATAATTCTTTTATTTTTTTATTTTTTAATGATTGTAATTGTTGGCAATCTTATTATGGAATGATATTTAAATCTGAATTCAAGAAGTAAACAACTAAATAATTGATGAAGGATAAATTCAAACATCTAGCATGTTGTGTTTTTATATAATTGAAACTAACCTTAACTTTGAAGCAAGAAGCCAATCAATACTATCCATTACTAGCCACTACACCATAACACAACAAAGATTTAAAGAATGAAAGAGAGTTCTATCATGGTGTTGCTTTGCTAAATAATAATCGGATGGACTGGTGGTAGAGGTAGCTTGAGATAATCATGCTGCCTTACTAACTTCTTTACTTCGAATTAGCAAAAGCAATGTCTCTTTGCATGATATGGATTCCAAACATTCATGATTTGGATGTGAATGAGTTAGTCAAATTACTTAATCCTCGTCTATTAGTGAACTACCTCTCTAGGACTTGTGAAAGATGTTCCACTAGAAATATTTTTGTTATTGCTTCGACTCATATTCCCAAAAAGTAGATCCCACTCTAATAGTTTCAAATAAATTAAATACATGCATTAAGATACAAAGGCTTCTTATTCCATAACAACAAAAGAACGCTTTCACTCTTTCATATAGCAGGGGATTTCACTTGGAAAAGAAAATGTTCCATACAAAGAGATTCAAGTTTATAACCATGGGTTCCAATGCATGAGATCTTGTAGCACTTACTAATAAGGCTCTATTAATTAGTATTACACATAAGAAATCAATTCCATGCAGCTATCATCTATAGAAGAGCTAGAGCTGCAAGTCATTATAGATAATTGGGTTCTCTTATACACCTTATGTGACATAAGTATCATGTTTTGATAAATGAGATTGAAACTACCTCGTTTTGGCAATAAAGTTTAAAAACTACCTTGAAAAATGTGTTTTTTAATTGCTTTGCATCATAAGCCTGTAAAGATATTTTTTTGGATGATATTGGTGGTCCTATTCTTAAGGGTGACATACCTTTTTTGGTGGTCTTGTTTTCATGGGTGACCTAGTTTTTTTTTATAGTCTTGTTTTCAAAGACGACTTATCTTAATGGTCTTGTTCTCAAGAATGACCCATTGTAATTTCTTATTCTCAAAAGTGACTTGCCTTAATGGTCATTTTCTCAAGAGTGACTTACCTTAATGGTCTTGTTGTTAATGACAACCTTTCGGTCGACATTTCTTAATAAATTATAAAAGATATCCAAACATATGAATTATTTTGGGTGATTGACTTTGAAAATAAGATTGGAGAAATGAACCTCCGATAGGTGATCCAATCAAAATAGATATATGAACCACTTTAGGTGTTTTTTTTTTTCTTTTTGAAAATGAGATCGGAGAAATGAATTCCTAATGGATGATCCGATAAAAAAAGATATACAAACTACTTGAGATGAGTTAGTGAGATATTTTCCAGCAATGCATTAATGAAGTTGATTATAATGATTAGTTTCTTACCTATAAGAAATATAGTTTATACTTTAAAAGCTCAACTTTCCTTCTATTGGATCGCTACTAATGAAGTTGAATATGAACTATAATGGATCATCGGCTCATGGTTTGCTTGAGATAGCCTTATCGTCCCCCGGTTTGGTTGTTTCTAATAGCTTTGATTAATATTCAAGTTCTTACTTTTTAGGCTCTTTTTTCTCGATAAGCTTTATGACGTTGTTTGTCTAATCATTGAACCCAATTCAACTTGTGAGATATTTGGTCTTGACTTTTAGTGTTCTAAATTTTGTAAATTACCATTCAAATTAGATCATGACATGCCCTTAAGTACTAGTTGAAATCATACCTTTATTGCTCTCTTTACACAACATTGCTTATGTGCAGATTTCACCTTTTGATTCTTGTTCCTCAATTTACAAATTAATCTCAAAATTTTCGTCATATTTTGAAAAATATCATTGAATAAATATTTAATTTTTATAGATTAAGTTATGAACTTGGAATATTCTCTTAAATACAATTCATATCATTTAAAAGAAATGTAATGATATTCTAATAAAAGTATTCTCATTTATGAACTTGTAGAAGTTGATTGTTCGAGAGCCAAAATAGTACCTTCAAATGCTATAATGTAATTTCTTCAAATGAGTTATTCTGCTAGATAGGAAAAATATATTTAGGTTATGCAAAATTTCTATAAAAATTGGCTTTTGATGTCATTGAAGGTACCTTCAAATGCTATAATGTAATTTCTTCAAATGAGTTATTCTGCTAGATAGGAAAAATATATTTAGGTTATGCAAAATTTCTATAAAAATTGGCTTTTGATGTCATTGAAGGTAAATGGTGAAAAAAATAAGTCTATTTTGGTAAATAAAAAGACTTGAACAGAAGACATTTTGAAAAATTAGGTTCTGTATGATTTGATATCATAAAAATTTAGGTTCTGCAAACTTATTTTAAAACCAAGTATTTTTAAAATCATTACTCATAATCTCCATTTTAAACCTAGATTTAAATGTCTTTCTAATGCTTCCAAGTGCATTTTGAATGATGCTGAGCTGGGAATTGAAAGAACACAAATTTGGACAAAAGGAAAACCATCAATTGTTTTATTAATAAATAGGAAATAAATCGGCTTATTAAATCCAAGGTACATCTTAAGGAAAAGTGATTCATGTGTGTGTTGTGCTAATTGAAGCTCCTCCAACTCTATTGAAATCATTATTTGACCTCCATTTTGTAAAGTTCTCCTCACTGCAACTCCCCAACTGGTGCCTCGTTGAGCCATAGGAAATGGATGAAATCATACAATTTTGCACTTACACTCACCTGGTAAGCCTTCACGTTAGCATTCCCAAAGTTGCAGCTATATAAAATTACAAAGAAAACACAAACAGATAGAACATCACCTTGTACGGTGTTGGGTTTAGCCTCCTCATATGATCAGGACGCATTTGCTCAAGCTGCTTGATACAGCGATCTCTAATGTCCTTAAGAGGAGGTAAATCTTCTCTTGGTTTATCTTCAAGAAACAAAAACTCATTTTAGACATTGCTATAGATGAAGTAAGCTCAAGCCTGTGTAGTCTGCAGACAAAGTGTTAAGTTGGGTGCGATACAATGCTACTGCTGTCCCCTCAAATTTTATCTTAACTACAAACCATTTTGCGAAACCATGCATAGAAATAATTATGTCCTGTATGTGTACGCATTTGTGAAGAAAATCCTCAAAACAAATTGTTCAAAAGTGAGCTCACAAAAAAAAATTTTTTAGGTCACAGAAGCCCCCACCTGAGCTCCCCGGCCAATAACACTTTAGAAGCTCCTCAACCTGCTGTGGAACCACATATGCTCTCTTGGATTCATTAAAAGGATGGCGACACAGTATCCGTTCTCCCACCTGGCAGTTTAGAGAAGGAAGACATTACACTTTTTCCTTCATCTAATCACCATAACAAGACAGTTCTATCAACCAAGCAGCTCAATCACAAGTAAAGAAAAAAAGAAACAAATGGAAAGTGCATGGGGTAAAAAGTTAAGACTGTTGATGTTGGTAGGGAGATCTAATGACCAACCTTGTAAAACCATTGTAGAAATCAATAACTGATATCTCACCAGACTCTGAAGTTCATTATACCTAGCATAAGTTTTTGCACTCAGAATTTAATTTTCCATATAAGATAAGTGGATTAATTATTTTGAACGCCAACTTCACAGCTAGTCCAGGGTAGAATTCTTTGGTAATCATGGTGGGTACTTGGTAGAGTGCAAAACATCAAAGATTAGAGCACATGGAGCACTTTAGCTACAAATCCATTAAATGATGACCATGATTTTGAATACCAACCTCTCAGCTTGCTCAGTGAAAAAATTCTTTGATAGATTGATCATGCCCGTATTCTCAGATTAAACATTCATAAATAACACAATATAAAGAACAATGTTGGTGGTACTTGGTAGAGAATAAAACATCAAAGATTTGAGCATTTGGAGTACTTATACTGATAAATTCATTAATCGATTGACTACCTTTGGAGATGGTTCATTTTCCCCCGTCATTATGTCCACCAGTGGGTAGCCTTCTCTTCCATACAATCTATAAGACCGTTTTTTGCATGGTATAGAAACCTAGCAAATTAACGAAGGGAAAAAAAAAATCAGTGATTCTATAAAAATTAATTAAAAAGTTACTTCGACTTGGATCAAACCTTTGAAACATCTTCGGAAAGTTTGATGCGCGGCTGATTGTTTATTTCAACAAGCTTGAAGACACAACCCAAAGCAGCTTGAGCATAGCAAGTTACAAGATAGGTTCCTATTCCATATGCATCTACTTCGTGACCCTGAGCAGCCAAAAAATGATATACCAATTAAAATTTAGGTCCAACAAAATGCATGTCCAGCATTTTTTTCTTTTTGTTGTTACAATGGTTTAATCATAATCATACATGATATAACATACTGAGAAAGATAAGCAACATAAATTATTAGAAAGAGCATGATATTTGACCACTGTTTGTTGCCTTGTTATGGAAATATCATGCTTCTGCAACATACTTGAGAAAACCAGATCAGCAACAACTTTGGCGATCAATGTTTGACCAAAATATTTTTCAACTAAATTACTGTCAAGCAGAACAGAATACAGAAATTCATATTTTTTGTGTTTAAAATTTCCCATAAGGAGAAAAGGCATAGAAGCAGATGCCAAAGGAATGCTGAAACGCACATTAAGACAAAAAACATAAAAATATTTATGCAGGGCAATAGGTGAAGGATTAAGAAGTCATCCACACATTACGTCTTTAAGTTTGTTTATTTTCAATAGTTAATAAACAGGTTTATGAACAAATATCTGAATTTATGGCGTAACAACTGAAAAACAAATCATTCTCCCTTTCTGTATTTATAAACTGTATTGCTTTACTTACTGAATTATCTCAGTTAAACATATAGATAGCCCCGGGCTTGAAATAAAATTAGTGAAATTCAGAGATAGCATGCAGCTAAGGGAGACAGCTCAGATGCAAGATATTGGCCAGAAATTTTCCTCATTGCTCAGCAGTGTGTGTTAAACTTGTCTGATCATGCAACGAGCAAAGAGACAATGCCAGAGAATTTTCATGTGAAACCATTCTAAAACATGCTCACAAAGACTAAGTCGTAGATGACCAATGCCTTCAGTGAGCTCCAAAAAGGGAAACATGTGTAATTTGCTCAGAGCATCAGAGCAGTTTTGTTACAGAATGATTACCTGTTTATTCAGAGCATCTAAAGTTTCCTCATTGAGGTCATTACTAGCAGTAATGCTCGTCTTCCCAAAACCAGCCACTCCAAATTCTTTCTCAACGGCACTAAAGAACTTCCGAGCCTCACAAGACAAATACGCTAGATCACCAGAATCTAATCTAATGCCTGCTGCTTTATATCTGCAAAGTAAACCATCTAACATCACCAGTGTAAATTGAGCATGATTAAAAGGTCAATGTGGAAAAATAATAAAGAGTATAAGTCATCAGGATGCTATGCAAATAAAAGACAATTGAATTACAAGCTAATGTGACAGTGGTTAAAGACAAATGATATCTGGGTGTTTCTCTCCAATGCCTTGGATTTAAAATGAAGGCAATGCTATTGGATGTGAATCATTGCAAATGGTTGTGAGAAACCATCCCAACAGGCTTTGGAAAATGTTGCATAAGATTTGTAAAATGTAGCAAATTAAACTATATATTGCAAATATGTGGTTGAAACCTGAACCAAAAGAATATTCAGTTGAAGCCCCTGTTGAAGGAAAACTAGGCCCCCAGGGGAAGATACCAGGCCATTGGTGTAAGACAATGGAATGGTAGAAGCCATCAACAGTAAAGACGTGATTTAAATGTTGGATAGGTTTGCAAAATGAAAGCATTGGAAAAAGTAGAGGCAGGGTCACAGTTTCAGAATATGCAACCTTGGTGCTGCCATGCCTACAAATAATTTGAATTGCCTAATCCTGGCATTAAGCCTTTGAGAGAGAGACTGTTATCTAACCACGATGACAAGGAGTGATAAGTTTTAAAAATATATAAAAACCATATGTTTTAGTTCCCAAGATAATAAGAAGGAATTTTGCTTAGTAAAATTGCCAATACACTCGTAAACCTTACGGACTTACCCAAGATCATTAAGTGCTAGAGCAACTGCACAGAAGTTAGGGATTCCACTCCTCATGACCTGGTAAAGAGACAGAACAGATTAAAAATGCAATGTTAACTGCTATAAAGTGATAATTAATCAAAGTAACTGCCTGGCTTAATTAAAAACACAACGTTTGGCAAGCAGCAAAAAGAAGATCCAACAGTAATTAACCTTCGCAAATATAATCCATTAATACTTAAGTATGGCCATAGAAACATTATAAGAGCACTTGCACCATTTCATAATGGAAAAGTTAATGGCTACTGGAGTAAAATGCCACATGCTTGATGATTCAAGATATAAGCATCAGCATTTTGAGAAGATCAATAATAAAATTAAAAAGCAGTGATAAACTGGAACAAATTTCCACGGTTATAGACCTTGATAAAATTTCCCTTCATCTTCACTTACAAATTCTTGGTCACATTTACAGGTTACTAAATGTATGATTTTTAAAATAACCACCTAGTTTATGAACTAGACAAAGTGCAGCATGCGGCCAAAAGTAAAGACAGCATATAGTTAAACTTTGCAAATATTTCGCCTAAAGATTGAATGTGATTAAGACTGCATGATAAAAGTTGTTGCATCTCAGCATGAGAAAGTTGATGTCTCAATGCATTCAAAAGAACATTGTTTTTTATAATTTCAAGGTATTGAGTGGCCAGGATGATACGAGCATTTTGAGAAGATTAGCTTCATAAACAGCACTTGCAATTTGAATTGAGTTTAAGAGGTTAAAATTTGATCAAACAATTGTTGACTTTGGCTTGTTCTTTACAATGCTAGGCACTAAACATCTAGACACAAAAGATTCCAGTGAGGGATTATCCTGAGCTGCCAAGATTATGTTTACTTAACTTTCATATTGATAATCTAAAGAAAAGCACAGTATCAACTAGCTACATGTCAAATATGGACAAATAAATTGCACTAAAAAAAAACCACACACACATCTTATCCAGGAAACAGTTATTGACAGACGGACATAGTCCAAAGAATTGAAACATAGCAACCTAGAAGCAAAAATTACACTCACATCATATGTGTCCACAAGAGCTAAAAAGCTTCTAGGGAATGCCAAGGCATATGAGGCGAAAGCAGCTAGCTCACTTTGATTGGTCTCACCAAAAATACCATGTAATGACTTTGACCACTGCATAGCATGAACCATATCAATCAAACCACAAAAATAAAGGAAAAAAAAAATGGAAGGGGAGCATAATAAACAAATGAAGTATGAATTGTAGGATCAAGAGATTGTTCACACCAATTAGCTGTCAAGAGAGTAAGAAAGCATCTTTATCTATGTTGGATATCAAAATGGCTTACAGTGTTCTCTGTGTTAATACCTGTTATGAACCATTGAGTTCCTAAAATATCTTATATGGGCTCTACATGGCTTCTTTAGAAGCAATCAACATTGTTTTCAAAGAACACTATTAATCCACAAGGCCCAGGAAAAAAAAAAAAAAAAAAAAACCCCTTTCTGTTAACTAAAATCCATGTTTAAAAAAAAAAAAATCCATGATTCAGAGTTAGAATTTCGGAAAAAATACTTTTAAATCTGAAAACCTCAAGAAGGTTAGGGTGGAGAGAGAGAGAGAGAGAGAGAGAGAGAATGAACTATAATGATAATATCAAAATTGTTTAACATGAATAAGTTCGCACACAATGCACAAATAACTGCTAGTCTAAAGAAAGAATTTTTTTATTTTTTGGAACTTTAAATAAATTGGACCCTTGGCCCTTTTTTTTTTTTTTTTTTTTTGTGACAAGAAGACCATGATATTTGCTGCATAGTAAAATCTTCAAAACTACATAAAAGTCCCATGTCATTGCCACCTGCTAAATAATATTTCAAGAAATTCCATATGCCGTGCATTCTCATCAATAGTTCTCTTATGCTTTCCAGGCAAAATCAAACTAGGATCTTAAGTATGCTAACTGGGCATTCTAGATAACACATTCCACACAAATATAATTTTCATCAACAAATAAAAAAGTTTGATATATACTTCCCCTGTTTTTCTAACCCATACTGACAACAGATGGATCCATGAGCCACACAACTAATTATCTCAAAAAAGATGAAAGAATACGATAAATTGATTGGCCCTAATTTAGGTTATTAAACATTTTCAAGAAAGGCAATAAGTTAATTTAGCCATCTCTAGCTACAGATGAACACACAATGGACAACTTCTGACAAATAATCACAATGAATGCTGAGGGCCATTGAGAAGGACCTGAATATTATTTAACCATGTCTGAACTAAACTGACAAAGTCCTCGCAACTATTTGATCCATCAGCACTTCGAAGCGACTTGTCTATGATCTCATCAAGGCTCTGCAAACCACTAGATAATTTAGATGAAGGACTAACTAAACCTAAAGCAAGGAAATAATATTGTTGATTGCATAAATGTGTAAACAATGGCACAAAGATGTGATCACAAATTTATTAAATACTGCAGAAAAATAAACAGGCCAGTACTTTGACAGAGAGAGAGTAGGGCCAAAAAGAGAAAATATATCATGAACTAACATTCATGACAGCGCAAAATGACCACTATATCAGTTTATAATGCGCTTCAAAAACAATTTGTAAATTGAAATGCTACTCTGAAGCATATATGAGAGAACCACACATCATCTTAATTATAGTGCTCCAAAATTTCCCATCATAACAACAAAGATAGATGTCTAATAATGCTCTTCGAGACTACCAACCATATATGAGCTGACAAATGCATGGGAATGAGTCCCTCGCAGAGGTATCCCAAATAACCGTCCAGCTGCAACATTGCTGTCAAAACAGAAGGCAGAAGTAGGCAAATAACAGTTAATATGTCGAGCAACAGCCATAGTAAAATAGAAACAAATGTGATTTTTGCATGCAATTATTTTTTATTATTATTATTTTTTTTAATCCATGTTACATAAAAGAAACCCAAATTCTCATTTGGTTGCTTATTACCAAGGTTTAATGACTTCTTAGAAATTTTTGCATGGGATAAGAATGATGCTTAAAATATCCCCTGCCATATCTCATTCGCTCAAAATTCAGAAACCTAATTGTTCCAGCATCAGAATTGTATAAAAGTAATCCTACCCTATTTTACGAACAAGAAAAGTTTAGGTCTCCCTTTAACCAGTTTGGAGCCAAGTGCCAGCCAACATAGGTGAAACTAAAACATTTCTTTTAGAAAGGAAGCATATATTCTCTTTGCAGATCAAATTCATGTACATAGTAAACCAAGATATTTTTCTCAGCTTTGAAGAAGCTCCTTGTCTCAGTTTTTGTTCCTTTTCCTGAAGGAATGATTTGATACAATGCTCTCGATGTACCTAGTAAACCAAGATATTTTTCTGAGCTTTGAGGAAGCTCACGGTCTCAGTTTTTGGTCCTTTTCCTGAAGGCATGGTCAGAACCATTGACCTATTTCCACCCAGACCAAACTTGAATCACCTTAGCCAATTCACAGGTCAACTGATTTTGAAGAAATACAAAAGCTGAATTTGAACTATACACTAAAAACTTTCGTGTAGTTGAGAATCATATCTGAGTTATCTACTCACTACTCCTTGCTACTCTAAGATTATATTTGGATTCAAGAAATGTTAAAAAATGACCCTTAACATGGAGAGATGATGCTTAAAATGAATCATCGCTAAATGATTAGAAGGCATATTAGAAAAATTACAAAGCCCTCTAAGAATCCAACTACAAGAGAGATGAAGCATTGCAAGATACAAAATGCAGCAACTGAAATGGATAGAAATTACCTTGTTGCATCAAAGCCTCCAAGGTAGCAATATTTTGATGCAGATATCCCACCATCAGGTCCCTATGCGTTAAAATGATGAGATTTTTCTCAGAAAGATAACTCAAGGCAGAGCATTAAATGATAAAAAGAATCAAAATACAGTCAGCAACCTGAGCCCGTCGAAGCCCAAACTCAAGAAGAATTTTTGATTTTCCAGCAACAAATCGATGTCTAGCTGCATTTGTTGCCACTAAAGATGCATAATTGACAAGATTCACTAATGGGGTTTCCAGCAATTGAGCCACCTACAACAAAATCAAATGACTAAGATCCACTTGAGAGACAAAAGGACATGGTAAACCGTGACCAAGAAATAGAGGAAAAACCAGTTTGATGGTACTCACAGCAATAGGTCCTCCTATTCTTAGCAGAGGTACCTTTGGGAAGACAACTGAACCCTCTGCAATGGCATGCACTTCAACTTCTGAGCAGTCCAGTCCTCTAAGATAATCGAAGAAACCATCCTGCCAGATCATGTATTTAGGTCTTCTCTTCATATTTAAAAGCCAGTTTCCATGAAACACAAGTTCCAGAAAACAAGAAGTACTCTCATCTTATGCCTAAACTTTTCCAGTTTTTACTCTACAGTCTACACTACAAATGTATAATTCTTTAGTCTGAATAGAAGATAACAATAAACTAGTCAACCTCTTTTACCTCGCATGAACCAGGAAGACTTTCACGGATGAAAGAGATTTCATCCTCGGTGAACTTGAAATTAGCAATTAACCTGATGCATTCTTCTAAACCAGCAAAGACTGTATACTCCCCACCAAAAGGATTCTTGCGAAAATATAAATCGAACCTGAGAACGACATAACGCAAACATTCAAGAGCTCCTTCATCAGTATATTCAACTATAAGTAAAAAAATTGCAATATGCGAACTTAGAAAGACTTCGAAATTCACAGGAAAATCAAACGAAATTAAATTTCTTTACAATTATTAAAAAAGTGAAAGAATTTATAGTTTAAAACAAAAATCCTATTGAAAACTTAAAGGTAATTAAGCATATTAATCCTTCAGTCAACTTTAACACCACAACTTTAATAAATAAATGATATAATATTGAGCATGGAATTAACAAACTGATATTTTAGGGGGAAAAAAAATCAAATTCCTCAACAACCAAATAACAAATAAAAAAAAACAGAATCTACGGAAAAAGAAGGAAGAAAAGAAAAGGCAAACTACTCACACAGCTCGCTCTTGATGTTTATTGGCTTTCCAATAAGCATAAGCCATTGTAAACTGATAAAGATCCGTTAAGAGAGGTGTTACCATCGGGTTCGTCGGTCCCTCCACAACCCGACCCGAATAATTCCCATTCGCTTTTACGTTCTGATCCATTTCTGTCTTTCTATTCTTTTCTTTTGTTATCTTTGTTTCTTTCTAGGGCTCTGTTCTGCTGCTTTATATATTCAGGTAAGCATACAAATTTTATGTTTGTGTATATATATATAGAGGGAATATAGAAAGAGAGCTTAGGACGTGAGAGTGACGGAAAAGAAGAAGAAGAAGAAGAAGAAGAAAAGAAGAAGCGTATAGAAAGTGGGGACTGACTCTGGAAAAACGAGAGAGAGAGAGAGGGAGAGAGACCGTTAAAAACGAAGGGTGATGGTGGGTGGGGCTTCTGCCTTGTGGAAATGGAAATTCGTTCAAAACAGAAAAATGAAAATAGGCAGATAAATACTAAACTGTGTATATATTGATTATGTCATATAATTTATATGAGATTCGAAGGATTAGGTTTGACTCTCTCTCTCTTCCCACCTTTAACACACCATCTTTCATGTACTTGGTCCTCATTTTGTTCAATAATCCTTGGAAAACCCAAACCACCTGGTCTTTTCTTTTTTCAGAATAATAATAACCATAATAAAACACAATAGGGCACTCCTCTCCTTTTTTTTTTTTTTCTCTTCAATTTCTTTCAATCAAAAGGTCAATCTGATTCCTTTTATCCAACAATATTTTTATTAAAAAAATACTTAAAAGAAACCAAATTAGTTTGAATAGAAAGAGTTCAAATCATTTAAATAAATAATTTTCAATTCGAATTCTTGTGTATGCAGAAAACTACTTGAGTAATTATATCCGTTTTATATGTCGGACCAAATAACAAGAGATTGGTCTAAATTTTCAAATTTAAAATACCTTAAAAATCCATATATATATATGAATGAAATAACTAGTATCGACAAAAAAAAAAGAAGTTTAAAAACTCCACATGATGTTTTTAATCTAGCAATATTTAGTTAAATTTAAAACTACATAATACAATAATTTTTAAATTTTTATTAATTATTCTTTTCGCAAATTACCATCTCACATTATAGTTTCTTTTTTTTTAAAAAAAAAGGTTTGCAATGTTAAATGACTTTTCAAAAAAGTTTGTAATATCAATTCACCAAAAGTTCCTAATTAGAGCATTAGGACTCGAATGACCGAAGTGAAAACAATGACAAATGGTTTTATATGATGTGCATAATTTGATTATGCACCAAAATGTGAACTACAACAATTTGATAGATTAGTATAGCAGATCTTATTGCTAAGATCGTTAGGTTAAGACAATACCATTCATTATCGTGCAAAACAAAAACAAAAACACAGATAAGTGTATTATTCACTAGTTTGGACAAAAAATATATATAGACCATATACTTATTATTGGAAAAATATCGAGTATTAAATTCACTTAATTAAATATATAAGTGTGGATTGAAAAAAACACCCGATTATGTAAGTAATGGAAACATGTTTCCTCGCTGAATATTTGTAAAAGCATACATGACGCGGTGATTTGCATTAGGACAGAACATGTCGTGCCACAGTAGCCTCATTATTTTTATTTGCCTCCTTAAACTACAGCCACACAGAAAAAAGTATTTAAAATCTCGATACTTTTGATGCAGAGATTAGTGTTCTGATTAGACTCTCCTTCTGACTGTGATCACAGTTCATGGTATGAACATGGATAAGTGTGTTGTTTTGTTGTCTCCAGGTGTTGTTGTCACAGTCACTAAAAACATGAAAAATTTCAAACTTCACCAAGATTGACGTAAGATATAGCCCCATCTGAACAAACTAACAAGCAAAGCTGGCTCCGAACTTTCACTCGTAGCGTTTGAAATTTGTGAAAGGGTCCAAAATTTAGTGACTCCTCTTTGTCTTAAAGGCCGCGCCTTATTTTCTTTGGTTAATATGCTATTAATTTTTCATTTTCTTCTCTCATGAATAATATTGTGTAGCTTATTGCTTTTATCGACTTTACTGATTTATAATTGGCTTATTTTCTAGTATTTTCCGAGAATGTGGTTTTTATTCGTATTTTGAACCACTAATTTTTCTTTATGTATGCTTGATTTTTTTTTTTAAATTAACAAAGCAATTTAACACACACACACACACACACACACACATATATATATATATATATATATATCATGTTACACGAAATATAAATTGGATCGATAATGAGTCTTTTCAAAAACAAGGTCTTGAGTTGCGTAAAGATGGATATAAGTATTCTTGTAAGACTAGTGTCTATTTTTTATTTTTAGAATGTATTAAAGAGATTGACTTGATAGGTTTAGAACAAGATCCATTAAAAGAATATTCAATTGTTAATTTATATAATTTTTGCTAACAAGTTGAAGTTGTTTAACTAAAAAAAAAAAACCAAAATTTCTTCGACTTAAATCTAACTCGTTCAAACATAAATAACGTGGCATGATTTTAATGGTCAAAAACTATCTTTATTTTATTATAGATACCTACTTCACATCATTGCGAGGGAATTCTAACTTTTTTATCTTTAACCAAAAAAAAAAAAAAACCTTATATACTTTCTCTTTCTCTCTTTGAAAGCTTTCTCACTCATGCTAGACAACATCTAAAGTTTCACCTCTTTGAACTTTGACTATGCATTTGTTTGCCACTCGACTTATGTCTTCATCGCCATTGCTTGGTTCTTCTCTTACACCTCCCACTACTTGTATCCAACTAACTTGGTTGGTTGATAATTGCTTTTATAAGTTATAACGTTGACTTTTTATGTCTTGAATAGTTTGCCAACCTATGGTTTAATAAGTTCTCAAGAACTCTCTATACATTTTGACACCTTCTAGGGAGTTAAAGATTATGAAAAAATAATGACACCTTTTAAAACCACCAAGAAGAATACTAATCCTTCAACTAGCTCAATCGTCTATAATAATGATGATACTTTATCCGATCTCAATAGCAATACTAACAACACAAACCTATTTAACACCGAGAATGACAACAATTCTCAAAACTCCCAAGTTGAAAGTGAATGCTTGTTAGCATTGCCAAGAGGCAATCTGTCTTGACTAACTACTCAAGCCCTCGGACAACCAAGCTTTCAAGCTATGACCGAAGTCTTAAAGATTTTTCAAGATACTCAACTCATATTATAATAAGAACAACAAAAGGCTTCAAAGTCCTCTAGGACAATAATGTTGCATTTATTGAGACTTTTAGTAGCATCTCCTAATTACTTCCAACCGATGGACTTCTTTAAACTACTTCTCTTTGTTAGTGTTGGTGCCCAAGATCCAACCATGTTTGGATGGACTTATGTTAATATGTTATTACATCATTTATTTTAATAATAATAATAAAGAAATCATTCTATTAATTCTTATATTTACATGTGCATAAATTAAGTAGAATTAGATAGAAGTCCTTATGATATACATTTACAATAGTAATTAATCGAAAGATGTGAGACAAACACTAATACACATAAATGATATCATTAAATGTCCCAAGTCGTAACATCGTCAAGAATGGACATTGACAATATGCGGATAGACTTGTAAATGCTATACTCATGCTATATGATAGTAGTAGAAGATCTCACACCTATTGACATGGTGATGCCAAAGCAAGCACCTAGATGATTTATGTTAGAGAACATATCACCGAACTTGACTCACCATGAGAACCCATTTGGTTTTAGTCTATAGGAATCTTATACGAGATGAGTAAAAATGGTCCTTAGACTTGAAGTCATCACGGTTATCTTATTGGAAGACTTATGTACTTTGACACTCGTTTCGATGGACCCATTAATGGGTTACATGTGGGCGATTTGTTGGGTGCACTAAGAATCCAATAGAGATAGATGTATGGCTAAGATAGGACATGTCATTCCTTGTATCCTAAAGGAGTTGTTACATCGCACTTCGATAAATGTCTACTCAAAAAATATGTGGCCACGGTAGGAGTACACTAATAGAGCATAGCTGGTTTACTCTAAGAACTAAGACATTTGAGAATCGAAGAAAACTTATGTGATCATAATCAAACAAGACTAATAACCAAGTTTGAGATCACACTATGATAAGTTAACATGAGGACTGAATTGTAAGGTAACCATGCTTGTAAAAGGTAATAATGGATTAACCAATCCTCCTAAAGAACTAGGTAATCATGATGTCTTGGTAGAGGCCAATCTTGATTTATTTATCAAGAGATGAAAGAGGAGTCATTTATTCTTGATACATTGCCAACATATATAGGAGTCTATTGAGTCACACACATAAGTTCAAGTATTCATATTACAAATGAGAAGCAAAGATATTGAAAAAAGTTTCCAAAATGGAAAGTTTCCTAAAATGAAAGTTTCCTATTTTAGAAATCGGTTTTCTAATTTGAAAGTTAGTTTCAAATTTGAAAATAAAGAACCTAAAAGGAAAAGAGTTTCCTAATTTAGGTTAAAGGGTATTTTGAAAAATTATTTTCTAATGTGGACCCCGTTAAAATAATCTAAGAATATTTATTTGGATAGTCCAAATAAATTAATTGGGCTAAAATAGTTTTGGCCAATTAGGTTTAATCAAAAGCCTTAAGATAATTTTGATGGGAGGATAAACATTAACCTTATTGGATAATGATGAATGTTTTAAAGATAAACATCAAGTAGTCCATATATAAAATAACTCTTTATCCATGGAGGATAAGGAAGCAACAACTTAGAGTCCTTTATGGACTTAAGGTCGCCACTTTTTTTGTCCTTGAAGGACAAGGAAATTCTCTCCTTATAAATAGGAGGAGAGGGGCGACAAAAGAAGAGAGAGAACCTAATAGAGAATTTTGGCTAAAAAAGGAAAAAAGGTAGGGAAAAATTCGGCTAGTCTCCAAACAAAAAGGGACACACGGCTAAGAGAGAGAAAATAGTTTTCTCCTAAAATGCTAGCAAGAAATTCTCATACCTTCTATTTTAAAGTTGTTATAAAGTTGTCCGAGATTGATTTCTAGAGAAAATACTTAATCGGAAAAGGTGAAGCTAGCACCCTATCAATTTTGAGTGCTTCTTT